GGCGGTCGCCGAGCTGGCCCTCAGCCGCGTCAACGCCGACCGGGGAGAGGGACACGTCCTCAGCCTGCACCGCCTCCACAGCGCCCGCCTGGAGCGCGTGAGTAGCAGCCGCCCGCGCGAGAGCGCCGGGGAACGCGGGCAGGGTGATCCACGAGATCCTTCCGTTTCATCGCGTGTTCCGTCAGAACGAGCCTGTCCTGCTCCGAGGCCGGGAAAATGAGGCTCCTGCACTCGCGTCTCTGCGCGAAAGGATCTTGTTTTCCTACGCGGGTCTGTTTCAAAAACACGCTGTGTCAACACCTCCCCCCCGTGTCTCCAGGCGAACCCTGTTATCAGAGCTGGACCTGAGCATTCGCAGTATTGACTGGGCTTGGCTTGCCGAGTACAGCAGACCGCTTCTCAGAATTGACATTCAATTACTGAGCTGGTTTATTTGAGCACTGCCCTGTGTCAAAATGTCAAAGAAACAAGGGCCACTGTACGACGCCATGAGGCTGCTGTTCTCGCTTCCCCTCCAGACGGTGGGTACTCAGGGCCTTATACTCGTATAGTGAAGGAGACTGCTGCCTGGCTGGGTGCCAAGCTCTCCCGCTGCGCGGTCTCGGACGAGATGGGCTGTTGTCTGACTAACCCGCCCCAGGAGAGCCTTGTGGCGGCTGTTCCAGTGGGGCCCCGACGAGCGAAGGAGGGGCTTGCGCTAGGAGGGTCCTGACCGCCACGGCTGCCCCTTGCTCGCAGGGCCCGGACAGAGCGGTGTTCCACCTGACCTTGGACGTGCTGGAGACCACGTGCCACGCGCTCAGCGGGAGGGACTGGAGGGGCTGCGGCGTCCGCCGGAGACAAGACACGCCCGTAGGTCTCCGCCCGGCTCGGGACATCGCACAATCTGCACAATCTGCACAAAATTTCGAACCCGGAACACTTCCCTCCGGGGAGCATCCGAGGGAGAAATTCTCATCCACATAGTTTACAGCAGGGGTTCCCCACCCCGGCCTGGGGCGCCCCACACTGCAAGCGGGCTCTCATAGCAGCTGAGCTCTTGGCTGACGTGAGTATCTGAGCCCAGGGATTTCGCTGTATCCCTGACAGCGAAAGGACACCTCCTGCACGCTTAGGATCTGAAAGCAATTGAAGCGTGCAAATTAAACCTCTTATTAGGGCCGTTGAGGGTTCAGTTATTTAATTAGGGTGTCCAGGTGGAACCAAAGTTGACAGGGGTGGGTTCCCCAGGACCTTACAAAAACTCTCTCACAAAACCACACAGGGCAAGAGCTCAACCTCTCACTGAACTGTGAGTTATTTGTTGGTGTGGGAAAACACGTAGGTGTACTGTATAGCGTCTCAGCTCACTGGCACTAATTCTTCTCCATTCCTTCACAGGTCTATGGCCAGTGTAAGGCCACAGCCTACACCAGCGGAGTCCAGAGAGTCGTGCGGGTCTCCAGCTATAACTGTACCCTCAGGCCAGGTACGGTACCGTACGGCACCTTGCCCGAGCACTGCTGGACCCGTGTCTCCTCGTGCGGTCCGGCCCGATTCACCTCGACGCCGACGGTCCAGAACCGCATCATGGAAAAGTGTGGCAGAGAGGGAGCAGGGATCCCAGCCAGCCCTTAGAAGCCAAACCAGACCCCCGCAGAACCGAGTCGGGGCAGTTCCGGTTCCGATCCGATCTCAGGGCCCACACGAGACGGGGGGGGAAACATCAGTCACAACCACACGTTAACGGCAACAGCCAAACCGCTTCCACAGCTCCATTATTTTCTAAGTTTGGTTTTGTTCAGACACCGGAGAGAAATGTTCAACTGTGAGTGTGTGTCCCCTTGACACAGGCAGTCCTGAACTCCTGCATGCCGCTGTCTCTGTGTAGCAGGACTTTCTTTTACTTACCTGGACAGGAACAAAATAGAATAACTAGCTAATCAGGCCATTTCAATTATCTTTTATTCTTAAATTTTAGGAGACTTCATATTCTGTGGAGAAATCGTCAGTAACCTCACATTTTCAACTTAATAAGAGCTGGGAACACTGAAGGGTTTCTCTTCAAGAGAGTTATTCCCTCAGTTAAAAGGTTCGATGAAGAACATGCAGCTCATGATGTTTTTAACACGTACTTAACAGATAAATTGCTGTGGAAACATACTGAAATGATACCATTCCCTCCTCTTGAAGGAAAGGAGTCTGTGTCTGCAAAATACTTTCAGACCTCTGTAATTGCTTTTTTTAATATTAAAATCTGAATTGTACTATTCCTTGATTTTAATTAGTCAGTAAAAGCTCCTATAATATAGGTATTGGAGAACTGTACTGGGAGGTGAAGGTCTACTGTCACACTGTTCAAGGATAACGTGTCTATTGCTTCGGTAGCCCCTCGCTCCAAAATCTTTCTGTCATGCCCTGACTGCCCCCGCCCACTGTCCGTGTCCGACGATAACATCCTGAGGGCCGTGAACGAGACCCTGCAGAAATACAACCGAGAAAGCGGGATGCCCAATTACTTCTCTCTCCTGGCTGTGACCAGGGCTTCCTCACGGGTGAGCAGAGTCTTCACCGGAACACATGCTGTGCACAGTTTAAAGATAGATTGAATAGGAATATACAGTTTTTAAACTGTATTACCTAGTTGCACTCAAATTTCTTTCCTGTTTTTCCCGGGTGGTCCGGAGGGAGGATTGGGCCTGTTCTATTTGGTGGAATTCACCATCCAGGAGACTGTGTGCAGCAACAGCTCAGACGTTGCAGATGTTTCCAGATGTGCGCTGATGGACTCCAAGTCTGCTGTACGTGAAAACAGAAAGCCAGTCCAAAGACATGCTGGCAGATGAATCGGCTGTAGGAAAACTCATGGTGTGTGTATGTGGGTGGAGTGTGTGAGTGTGCGTGTATGTGGGTGCAGTGTGTGTATGTGGGTGTATGTGGGTGCAGTGTGTGAGTGTGCGTGTATGTGGGTGTTGTGTGTGTATGTGGGTGTTGTGTGTGTATGTGGGTGTAGTGTGTGAGTGTACGTGTATGTGGGTGTTGTGTGTGTATGTGGGTGTAGTGTGTGAGTGTGCGTGTATGTGGGTGTAGTGTGTGAGTGTGCGTGTATGTGGGTGTGAGTGTGTGCGTATGTGGGTGTTGTGTGTGAGTGTGTGCGTATGTGGGTGCAGTGTGTGAGTGTGTGTGTATGTGGGTGCAGTGTGTGAGTGTGTGTGTATGTGGGTGTTGTGTGTGAGTGTGTGTGTATGTGGGTGTTGTGTGTGTATGTGGGTGTAGTGTGTGAGTGTGCGTGTATGTGGGTGTAGTGAGTGTGCGTGTATGTGGGTGTAGTGTGTGAGTGTATGTGGGTGTAGTGTGTGAGTGTGTCCGTATGTGGGTGTAGTGTGTGAGTGTTGTGTGTGTATGTGGGTGTAGTGTGTGAGTGTTGTGTGTGTATGTGGGTGTAGTGTGTGAGTGTTGTGTGTGTATGTGGGTGTAGTGTGTGAGTGTGTGTGTATGTGCCCTGCACATCACTAGAAAGGCTGCTCCGTTTGCTACAGGTGCTACATGGCTGGCAAGGCCTGACCTGTGTTCTTGAGCTTCGTGCCCTAAAGGTGTGAGCTGAGCAATACCCAGATCATTCTCATTTGTCTTCCTAGCACAAGGGCCACTGCAGAGGATCACACTCACAGTTACTGGGTCAAGACAATGTCTCCGTCTCCTGCGAAATCTTTGAACCAGCGGTAGGAAATGAAATGCTCGTCTTTGCATTTAATTTAGTTGAAAACAAATACTGGAATAATATCTTAGGATGAGCAATCTTACTTCTCTTCCATAGGACTGATTCTAAAGAAAATGAGTAGAGAGGATTTAAGAAACTTCATAGGGCTTATAGAAAAGTTGCAATGAAGGATAAAAATGCC